CTCTCTCTCTCTCTCTCGCTCTCTCGATACGAACCGCACGACAGAACGAACAAAACTGGCACGAGAGTCGGAACTACGAGAAAGAGAGACCGCGGAGAGGCCTCCTCGCCGCGCTCTCGGAGAGGAAAGGTGGCCAATTAGCCGTTACTCGGCGCACATGCCTCAACCGACTATCCGGCGCAGCTGCAGCGCCGTTGCTGCACGCTTCCACGGAATTGCATTCATAAACGCGCACGATACCAGAATCAGGCGTCGCGCCGACGTGCGTCGTCGTTCAGCTCGTTCCGACGTTCAGACGTTCTCGCGTCTTCTTTTTCATTCCGTCCTCCGTTTGCTTTTGTTATCTTGCCATGTTGTTGGCCGATGAATATGTTTCACTGAATATGCATGGACCTCGTTCGTCCCGCGTCGTGGCGCGAGTTTTCAAGTGCCGCTGCTTTCCGCGTGCATCTGCTCGGAGTGAGTTGTAAAGTGACTTGTTTACCGGCTCTTGAATTTCTTTCAGTTTTATTGTATGCTCTCTCTCTTTTTTTTTTTTTTTTTTGGTTGAGATACAAAGTACCATTTTAATTCTACAGGTGGATTTTTTTTTTTTTAATATGTCCAAGTTCAAAATAACGTAGAAAAATTTTATGTTTGAAATTTGAAACGAGAATTCGAAAGCAATCTGAAAATGTACATGGAAGTTATGAAATATTTATCGCACTCGTATATCTATGAAAAATAATATATTTTCAAAACTTCAACAGTATAATCATGATAGTTGAATCTCACATCACTGCTACTTTCATAAGCTCACAATACTTTCGCAAGTTCATGCAAGTTTAACATAATTTTTTATGATAATCCTACTTATAATAGGATTTCGTGTTTCAACAGATTCAATCATTTTTCTAAAAACTTTACAAAAGACTTCAGTCATAATTTCATTTTTAAAAAATTATTTCCCAAATTGCTAACACTATAGTGCTACTATATTGCTAATATTTTTACCATTTCCGCCATATTTAATTATATCAAATTATTATATTGGACGACCAAAAAAGATACTTGAACCATTCTTCACGTTTTAATTTGAAATTTTTCGCAAATCGTATTTCTCGTAAAGATTCAAATTATTCCGCGATTAAAGTGTAAACGTTTTTACGATAAGTTTAACGAAGCATGTAATTAGAAAACCGGACACGATTCTGTTGTAATTTCTTGCAGTTCGATATCAGAAATGAAATGAGCAATTTTGAATTTTTCAGGTAATAACAGTTCGTACGATCATTACAGAAAATTCTAGAATATTATACGTTTACTGGCAGGAAGCAACATTTTCTGAGACCAGTTTAATCATTTTGAAATTTGTTGTCTACAACAACGTATAAACTTCTTCGTACATCGTATAAATTAGCGCAATATAATGACGTGATTTTAAATCATCGATCGTAACGATAAACTAGAATGTACGGACTGTTTTTGTATTTTCATATTTTTCTGAACTATAGAGGATACAATCTAATTAAAACGAAATCTAGGCCTTCTAGTTTCACCAACCGAATATTACAACTCTACTCTTTCATATATTTTTACAAACTTCGTACAAATTTCGTGCGATCAAACAGACAGTATAATAACACAGCTCAGTTGACTTTTAATTTGAAACCTCGAGCCAGAACATTGTTGTAAACAGAACTCGCTACGAGTTCACGTGTCGTTACGTTAATCGCCCCGGATCGCAAGCGCAACACGACGAACTCAGCAAAACGCGCGTTCTTTTCTTTCACATATTTTTCATCGTTCTAGTTTTCAAAATTCTCCTTTCACTCGTTTCTAACTGCGCCTCCTATCGCAACGCGCAACGCGAACTTTACGACTTTAAACTGCAACATGCGAATTCCTTCTCTGCCTCTGTGTTATGTTGCATCCAGCAACGGTAAAAATTCTTCGCCGAGGCCAGGAAAATTCCAGCCCGATCGGTATCTCGAATTTCACGTTACAGGAATAAATGTACTGGAGGACGGAGCTCGAGCCGAAAGATTCCTCTAGCAATTTCTCCGTCTGCTTCTTCTTCTTCTCCGCGCACGGCGACGAGAAAAAGAAACGCGGAGCAATGAGTTCCACTAAATTACACGGGCCGCAGGGAAACACCATCCGACAAGTAAAAGAGAAAAGCGGAGAAAGAAATAAAGAGACAGAGAGAGAGAGAGAGAGAGAGAGAGAAACAAAAAGCTGAAACGATTTTATCGAAACGCATCCTGCGCGCGCGCGGTTTCTTCCGCTTTCGCGACAAGGCGTAAGTACGGTGCGCGCCGCGGAAAGCAGCGTAATAATTGGAGAACGAAGATGTACGGCCGAGCGAGTACCGCTATTCCGGCTGACCGGAATCACTGCTCTGGAACAGCACGGTACTCCTCTACCTCTCTCTTTTTCTCTGTCTATCCCGCGTCAACGTGCTCGCGGTGAACACGTGCGATTCGCTTAACATTAGAGATGGGATCGAGCATCTCGCAAGCAAGTTCGATCCTTTAGGAGTACTGTTTCCTCGCACGAGTCACTCAATCTGTCAATTCCTTCGCTATGAAAATTACTTTCCACAAGTTGCTTTGTCCATCTTTAACTTTACTAGCTACAGTGAAGAATACAATTTACATATATGTGTGTGTGTGTGTGCCTAATGCGATTGTTGTAGCTGCGACACTTTCAACGTATTCTCAATGGAGAGATCGATGCAGTGGAGGGGATAGCACCAGCGATCAGGGAAGTAGGGGCAAGGGCCGCCAGTTAGCCACCTCTGCGTTAAACTTTAGACTCGAATCTTTTGTAAGTGTATGTAGCACTTCCGAACATTTGCATATCTAAATCTAAGCGGAAGTTTCATATGTCTCACGAGCATTTTCCCGAAATGAAAAACTCAAAGTCTGACGGTGAGTTCGAAGTTTTTAAGGCGGAGAAATGTAAAGAAATTTTCGGTAGTATATAGAATCCACGTGGTAGAAGAAGCATAAATACACTTCGAGGACCCTGAAAAGATTCCTGGAAAAGATAAGGCTGCAGGCTTATGACAAGGAACGATGATAAGGTGATATGATTCTTAATACACGTCGATTTTATAATTATTCCTTGTAGGCAAAGAAATAATTTTACTACACGTAAAACAGAAACAATTCACTTTTTAAATGTAATGACTTTTCAAATTAAATGACTTTTGTCGTAACTATCTTTTTGTTGAAAGAATCCCCGAGATGTTAGAAATGTTACAAATGGACAATTTTTACCGTGACGAAAATCGTTTTATCGACTTGACGAGGCATACCCCTGATTTCTGATACGCGATTCTCAAATACTGCATAACACGTTGAACTCACAAATGCAGCTTATTGTTAGATATCATCAAATTTGACTCGCATTGCACTTGATCCCATCACTACTTAACACCTGTTCCAGCGTCTGAGCGCTTTTCCTTCGCGCACGTGGTCATCAATCCCCCAGACGCGATCACAACCTTGACTTATTGATCTAATCTCGCGATTCAACTGTCAGAAACACGTTTTACGTTTTAAGGCGGTTTTCACGATTAACAACGGCGAGCACTGTCGCCGAAATAACGCTTTAAGGTATAAAACTTCCGTTTTTACGAACCGCGTTAACTCGAAGGTCGATAGAATGGTTTATCGGTCCGGTATTTTATGACCGTAGTGTAATTTGCAGATATTATACGTGTTTCTCACGTCATGTTTATTGCCAACAGATGACTTCATTTTACGATGAATTGCGAATTATGAAGGAATTTCTAAAGATTTCGATACTTGTGAATTGTATTTTTAAATATGGAATAATATCTTGTATTTTGTGTATATATGATTATAGAAAGTAGGTATTGAAAGTAG